CGCGGCGGCGGCCGGCGACAAGGAGATTTGGAAAGTGGGGCTGGCGCCCGGCGACGTGAACCAAGTCACCTTGGCGCTCGGGGCCGCAGCTTTCAAAGACGGGACCCTGCTGCTGGAGGGCAGCGGCTGCGACGAGGGGCTGCGGAGGACCCCGCAGGGCATCGGGCTCCTGGCCAAGACCCCCCTGAGCCGCCCTGTCACGAGGAACAACGCCAAGTCCCCGCGCATCCAAACTTTGATCTACGACGCCCTCGAGAGACCGCGGGGCTGGGCGCTGCTCTACCAAGCTACTCTTGGAGCCACCTAAGAGGCAGAACTGGGATCCCGCAGGGGTGTTCCACCTATGTCCTAGTGCTGTCTTCACCATGTCACTGTTGTCCCCAATGGCAGACGATGCAGAAAAAGGTAACAGAGACTGAAATTCTACCTTCTTGGGTGAAAGGTTTTGTACAGCTGCTTTTCTGAAAAGTCCCCAGGGGAGGGGCGTCTGGCTGGCCCAGTCAGTAGAGCATGAGACTCTTCTAGTTACAAGATGAATAAGTTCTGGGGATCTACTGCATAGCATGGTGACTATAGTTAATAGTACTATATTGTATATTTGAAAGTTGCTGAGAGAGTAGTTCTTAAAAGTTCTCATCACACACGTACACACACAGAGGTAACTATGTGAGGTGCTAGATGTGTTTATGAAGCATATGTGATAGTCATTTCATATATGTGTGTATCAAATCATGACATTGTACATCTTAAACTTACACGATGTTGTATGTCAATTATATCTCAGTACAGGTGGAAAAAAAAACCACGAATTCATGATTCTTGATTGGATCCCAGATTGAAAAAATAAATAACAATAAAGGAAAAACTAAATAGCAATCGTATTGATAGGAGTGAATTACTAGATCCAAGTCCCTAAAAGTGTGTAAGTTTTAATTACTGGTATAAACTTAGGCTAGAATTTTAATATTTCTGTAAAAAGAGGAAAATGTAAAGAAGCAAATAAAAGTCATTATAAGTACCTCCAATTAAAGGTAATTAATTTTTTGAACTATTAAGATTGTAAGCTTGACAATAGATGTTACTTATTGCCTACTAACTTTGGCATCGTGCATGAGTTTTTACAAAAACTACATAATCAACTCAATAGAAGCAGAAAAAGCACTGGACAAAATCCAACACCCATTCAGGATAAAATCAAACTAGAAATAGCAAGGAACTTCCTCAACCTGATAAAGTGCCACCTCTATCAGAAAATCCTAAAACTAATATCCTGGGGTGCCTGGGTGGCTCAGTCTGTTAAGCATCTGGTCTGCCTTCGGTTCAGGTCATGATCCCAGGGTCCTGGGATCAGAGCCCCTAGGCGTGGGCTCCCTGCTCAGGGTCCTGGGATCAGCCCCGCATCGGGCTCCCGTGGGAAGCCTGCTTCTCCCTCTCCCACTCCCCCTGCTTGTGTTCCCTCTCTCAGGGTGTCTCTCTCTATCAAATAAATAAGTAAAATATTTAAAAATATATGAAAAAGAAATGGAAGGCATATAGATTGCAAAGGAATAAATAAAACTATCTTTATTTGCAGGTAACATGATCATGTGTGTGGAAAATCCTAAGAAATCTATAAAAGAAATACTAGTAGTAGTACATAAATTTTGAAAGATCAATAATGTCTATTTACTAGAAATGAGCAATCAGAAAATGAAATTAAGAAATCAATTCCTAAAGTAGTGTAAAATAGGATAAAATGCTTAGAAATAAATTTAGCAAAATAAGTGCAAGGCCTACTCACTGAAAATTATAAAAGATAGCTGAGGGTAATTAAAGATCTAAATTAATAGATATATCATATTTAACAATTGGAGGACTGGCCTGTTCTCTCTCGCTCCTTCTGGGATTCCAGTTAAATGTGTTATTCACTGTATTATCTTTAATTCTTGCCCCCTCTCTCAGTCTGTCCCAGCATTTTTTCTCCCCAGGCTTCATTCTGGATATATTTTCTTCAGACTATCTTTCATTTTTTCAGATGGAGGACTCACTATGACCTTTAAAATCTAACACCACACAGAGTAGCTTGAATTGTCCACCTAGAGCACGGGAGGGAGGTGAGGGTTACAGACATTAATGAACTCATTCCAGGTCACCCAGCCTGAACACATCAGAACAGGGATAATGCCTCACAATGGACCCTCTGTCCAAGTCCTTCCTGCTGTGCTTGCTCTCTCCTGGGCGGTGAATTCTGCCTACTTCTCATCTCCCGGGAGGTACAGTGCAGCCTCCCAGTCTTCTGTGCTATATTTCTTTTTCGATTATAAAAATCAGTGATACTTCTTCATTAGCCAGGACAGCATCCCAGGATTTTGTTCTTGGTATTTGGTGTTTTCTACTCTGTGTTTTATTTTGTGTTGTCCTTTTACATTTATTCATTTTTTTTCTGTGTTTTTTCCAATTTCAGACCATGATACCGCATTAGCTTCTTTCAAAGAACAAGATGCTGGGGTGCTTCCCGTGGGAGGTGTGATACATGGTCTGAACAAAGCAGTTCTGGGATTCATTCTTCACCCCTCTAGGAGCAAGATGGAGTTGCAGCCATGGATGATGCCCGTGAGGGCCCCTGGATAAGATCGTAAGTGACCGAAGTGTGCAGGGATAGGTGTGAGTTGGGAAGATTAAGGGAGTGAATAATGGAAATTTGCAGGTAATTTGTTTTGCTTCTTTATTTCACTCATTATCACATGTAACACTTCGGTCTCAGCACATATAACCCAGCTAGTTGTTTTTGAACAGGTGTGCATTACTTTTATGAATTTCATGAACCTGTTCCTTTATTCTCAGTTTCCTCATCTAGAGATATGTAAGTACCAGGATTTTTTTTCCCATGACACACTGCCACAGAGCTCATTCTACTGCATATGATGCAGTGAATGTGGAGGCATGTTTCTGTCTCATAGATCAGGAAATGGCACTGTGCTGTCAGAGTAGCTCTACTTTGATCCTAGTGGATGTTGCCTTTTCTTCCTCCACCCCAGATACCTTCATGACAACCGCTTGGCCTACACCAGAGCCTTATAGTTCTTGCTGTGCCCAAGATAAGATTTGGGAATTTAGGCCAAGTGAAAAGGGTGAGACTCAGGGCTCCAGGCTTTGCTGATCTCCCAACTCCCTCCCTTCACTCCCTCCACGTTGTGATCAAGGTCCCAGAAAAGGCCTTCATGAAGCTATTCGTGATCCTGAAACCTAAAACTCTGAAAGGAGACATTGGTCTTGTCATCTTCCCAATCCTGATATTTCTTCTCTGGCCTGCAATTGAGGTGAGAGGCCCAGCCCACCCAAGAAACCAAAGGTTATCTGGTAAGGGTGACACTCATTCACCCAAATGACCGGTTTTTCTCTGTTTTTGTTCCACCCAGTATCCCTGATTCTTTTGATAACAAAGAATGCCATTGCATGTTCTGTCAGATCCCTGCAAAATCCATTCGAGGCAGGTATTATGTTCACTGGTCCACTGAGGAGGAAAGGAAAAGTCAGAGGGTCAGCAACTCTTGGGGAACAGTGGAGTAGAGACTCAAATCCTGGAGCTCCCCCCCAGCAAGCCCAGGCTGTGTATGCTCCCCAGGGCCATGTGGCTGCTGAGATGGGGAATGTTCTATTACTCCGATAAACCTGGGGGGTGGTGTTCTGTGCCCCTAGTATATTAGTCAAATGTTTTTATACAGAGAACGATATAAATTCTTAGCCATACAAATCTATGCAAATTTGGAAACAACCCCTTTGGGGAAAGACAGTATTAAAGAGCACATGGCAAGATGATGAGATGGGAAGAAAAAAAATGCCACATATATATGCCTGATATAGGATTAATATCCTTGATATATAAAAAATCAGTAGAGAGAAGGGAAACTGATATCAACCTAGATTTCTTATTAAAAGCAGTAGTAATTACCAGCAAGAAAAGCTGTACAAGGTATGAGATAAAAAATATATATGTATAACATATAATAATTAAATATATATTATAATTTAACATATATCATAATTAAATATATATATTTCATTCCTAATCTTTTTTTATTATGTTCAGTTAGCCACCATACAGGACATCATTAGTTTTTGATGTAGTGCTCCATGATTCATTAGTTGCGTATAACACCCAGTGCTCATCACAGCACATGTCCCCCTTAATGCCCATCACCCGGCTACCCCATCCCCCCACCCCCCTCCCTTCTGAAACCCTCAGTTTGTTTCCCAGAGTCTCTCATGGCTTGTCTCCCTCTCTGGTTTCCCCCCCTTCAGTTTTCCCTTCCTTCCCCTATGGTCTTCAGTGGAATATTACTCAGCCATCAGAAAGGATGAACACCCACAATGCACACCGACATGGATGGAACTGGAGGGGATTAGCTAAGTCAAATAAGTCAAGCAGAGAAAGACAATTATCATATGGTTTCTTTCATGCCTAATCTTACCACCCAGCCAATAACGTTGTCCTGAACTTAAAAATTACTAGGAAAAAATTACTGTAGTAATTTTATCAGTGAGGGTGGTACATTCAAATTGTTTTCTAAACAAGTTTGTTTTTAAAAACATAAATCTGTTTCACTGAAATTCAGTTTATTTCTGAGAAACACTAGGTGAAAGAAGGAAACTGCGCCCAGCTGAATACCTAAGAACACACAAAAGGGTACACATATACCCCAAACATGGACCAGCTCCCTCAGTTCACGGTGCTTGCTATGAGCCATACCCATCCACGTCAGGTGTTAGAACATTCTGTCTGATTCAGGTGACCCCTCTTCCACCACTTCAGGGAAACTGACAAATTGTAACCCTTTAGACACCCACTTTTTTTATTAACATATATAATGTATTATTTGTTTCAGGAGTACAGGTCTATGATTCATCAGTCTTACACAATTCACAGCGCTCACCATAGTACCTACCCTCCCCAATGTCCATC